TTCAATTAAATAGTTCTCAATATATACCTTTAATAAGCTTATATTTTTGCGGAGTTAAATAGGCCATATTAGGATTTGTATCAGTCCTCTTCATACATCTTAATTTTAAGTCATCTTTGGTCCAGAAACATTCACAAAGATCTCTCACAAAAGTCGAATCACATTTGTCCAGCATCATTTGCCACGTATCTTGATAGATATTATATTCTACGCCATTGTGACTGCCAACGTAGACCTATATATAAATGCACATTTTTCATAAACAATGACAACAACCTGAAACATTCAGTACTGCCAAATAATGCTCAAGAATTTACCTAGGGTGGCTACCTTGAGGCCCCCTACCCTACTGAATTCCCCATAATTTTTTTTAAAGTTTAGTATTTTTTGTATCAAATTTTGGTTTGTTGCACTTTTTCCAAAAATTGTAAAATACTTTTACAAATTTTAATATTAATTTCCTTTCAGTGTAAAAATTAAATCAGTTAAGTGTTATAGTATCATAAAAGTTAAGAAATCAACTATTCAAAAAGTAGGTGGTAATTTGTATGATTTTTAAGTTTGTTACTTTTTAAATGCGAGTTGAAATACTGAACCAGTCTGAAAATGATTGTCAACTTTTTTGCCTTAAGCGATAACTTTAATTATTCTCTTGCTAATTGTCAAGATGAAAACTTAGCAATACTTAAAATATCTTGTAGGGGATCTGAGCTTAAAATATTGACGTCGAACTTAATTTTTAATTTAGAAATTAAGCTCCAACACCTCTTGTCCGCATTAACCCCCTGTCTGGATTTACCTCAACTGACCCTACCTATATTACAATTGAGGCCTTGGATCCAATATCTCGCCCGACGCTCGAAGGCACGCGCTAATACCAGTCGGGTAGCACAGAAAAAAGAGGGAGTAAAAAGTTATAATGGTAATGGGTAAAACTCGTTGGGGTACAGGGTAGAGGGTAAAATTGTGAGGGTAAAATTGTTACCAGAATTTCCCTAGAAAAATGTCCGTGATTGTTGATATTATTTGATTAAAATGATGATAATTAAACACTGGTTGCATAAATTTAAATTTGAAATATGCACAATAAAAATAAGACACTACTGCACAGGTATAAATATTAACAATCTTGTCAATTTATATAATTTTAATCATTTTAACAATTCACATGACACTTGTAAAGAAACAGGCTTCGGAAAGCAAGATTTAATTCTCGAAATGAAACAGCAGAGTTGGGTAGGATAGCTATTGGACTAAAAAAATAATCACTCTGGAAATTTGAACTAGTTAAAAAGAATTAAATTAAGTATTAAAAAATTAGTTACTAATGATGAATTAATAATGTTTTTTTTACTAAAAATCTAGTGGAAAATAACTAATCATTAGTTAAATTTCATTTTCAGGTTATGTCGAATAACTATAATTTTTAGTATAAATATACTAATTTTTTATTTATTTTTGAAGTAATAATTATTTTTTTTACCCATTATTAGTTATTTTTTCACTAATTGCTAATATAAAATTGAGCAATGAATTGATTAATAATAATGAGTCTATTTTTATCTAACATTTTCTTTTTGTTTATTTTATAAAAATTACAAAATTAATTAATTTTTTAATTTGTAATTTTTGAGGTTATGGCTGTATTTTGCATTGTTTCGTTTAAATTGTATCTGTAGGTTATTATTTTATTTAAATGTAATTTATACATATGTGAAATACTTGAATTTTTTTTACGTATTCTGATTAAATAATTATATTAATATATTTTTTTAGTAATATTTATAGCTAATGCATTTTATATTGACTTATAAACATTTTTACAATAAAATATTAGTTTTTCAGTCCCAGATAGATTTGGTAAACAACAATATTGTGTAAGCACCTTCAGTTACCGATTGTCAATTTTAGTTCTTGATACGGATGTATGGCGGCGTTTTTAATTGCGTTTTAGTGTGATAGACACGTGTCTACAAAAACTTTTACGCTTATGTTTGCAATGTTTATTTTTACAAAAACAAAATGTCACATTTATTTCTGAGTTTGACACTGCAGACGTTTAAATTATTTAAGAATTAATATCGATAATTGCAGGTAACTTAAGAACCATTAGAACTGTTTTCATGTTTAAAAAGGTAAATGTTCAGGTCACTTGAGGTATGTATAAAAACATTACCAATTTTTTGTGTGTTTATGATTATAGGTTACAGTAGGTTAAAAAGTTTGATAATTTATTTACGAACTACTTCTCATACAAATTATTAAGAATGTTATTTTTTATTTCCGATATTTTTTATTCATTATTCATTTTTATTGCACTGTAAAATATACCTTCATATATTATTACAATTCGGATTTATATACTCTTGTATACTGTTGTAGGTAAATTATTCGACCGCATTCATGGATGGCGTCGTCCTTACTTGGAAAATAGAGCTGCTTCACGTACTTAAAATATTTTTGCAAGAGTTACTATATAGAATACCAAAAATCAAATACTAATTGGACACACCAAAAAATAAAAATGAAACAATTATCTCTATTTGTATTCTTTGTTCTTCCTGAGAATCTAACCATTTTTGAAAAATTGTTTTCTCCTCTTAAATGTGGAATTTATATTTGGAAAATACATATGTGTAGATTCACGACAAAACTAGGCTTAACTGTAAAAAATCAATTTCAAGTTTCTTATGCTTATGGATATATTTTATAAAACATTTTTATATGCAAAAGACAAAAGTTGTAAATGTCAATTACTTTCGGCAAAAATATAACGTTTTAAAAACGGTATATTGTGTGCTTTCCAGGTTTCGAAGTCTAGTAGCAGGCCAAAAAAGTATGAAAAAGTAGAATTTTGGAAGATAAGTGTCCTCTAATTTGAAAATTAAGTGAATATATGTTGTTGTCGAAAAAATTGAAAAAAAGATACTAGAAATAGGAATTAACAAAATTAAAGGAGATCTTTTATAAGAATTTGATTTTTAATAACTGGCTCAGAATTTTGAGAAGTAAAATTAACACCTTCTTTCTCCTTATTATTTTTGAAAAAACTATCAATAACTGTTTATCATCCATCTAATTTTTTAAAATGAAACGAAAACATTTTTTAGTAATTTACTAATAACAACTGCTAAAATGTAAAAAATGAATTGTTTTTAGTCATATAATTTTTTAAAATTTAGAATCCACATAGCCATAATTTTGTACAATAATAAATTATGAGTAATTTAATTACAAAAAAATATTTTTAATTTTTTTCTAGATAGATCTTCAATATTTATAAATGTTTTTATAATTGAGCAACCGACTTAAAACATTGTATTATTGAAAATACAATTAATATTTTGAAATTTGATAAAAAACTTCTAAACATATAATAAATAGTCACGTTAAATAATATAAATTATAATAATAAATAAATAATTATAAACAAAAAGTTCCCTTAATTAAGGGGAGGGTACATCTATTCTTTCAACTATATGAAGAGATTATTTTAAATATTCAATAAAATTATTTTTATAGTAATTTTTGAGAGGAATTCAATGGTCATAAAAAAAATTCGTTAGAAAATATTTTGACCCTATTTGGATTTTTATTTTTCCTAAAAGTTGATAGATTTTGAAAATATATTTTTGTATCAATAAAAAAATTTCCGAATATATATTATACGAAAACTCATTTGTTTTTTTCTAACTAATTTCAGAACATAATATTTAAAAAAAAAATGTTTTATGGAATAAATTTTGTTTTTATCACTAAACTCGAATATTGGTAACTGAATTTGAAAATTTTTTGTAAATTTTTCTGACGTGACACATGTAAATTATTTAGAAACCAATTTTATAAGGAAGCACTTATAAATAATTTACGTATGTTACGTTAGAAGAATTTACAAAAAAGTTTCAATTTCAATTAATATTTGAGTTTAGTGATAAAAACGAAATTTATTCGATAAAAAATTTGTTTGAAAAAGTTTGTTCTGAAATTAGTTAGAAAAAAAAATAAATGAGTTTTCGTATAATAAAATTTAATAATAATCATATTTTTTTAAATTCTTAACCTGGAAACTATTTTTTTTAATGCTAAAACTTTTGTAAATATTAATATTTTCATTAGGAAATTTTTTTATGAATACAAAAACATATTTTCTACAGAATTGCGTATGGATTTCAAAATCTATCAATTTTTAGAAAAAATATTCAAAAGGGGTCAAAATATTTTCTGACTACTTTTTTTATGACCATTGAATTCCTCTCAAAAAATTACTATAAAAATAATTCTATCGAATATTTAAAATATTTTCTTCATATAGTTGAAAATATAGGTGTTCCCTCCCCTTAAGAATATTTTTTGGAAAATACACAAATTAAATTTTTTTATTTTTGTTATGAATTTTATTGTCTGCTTCATATTTTAGAACTTCATTATTATTTTAATATTTAAAATATTTTGCATAATTTAATTTAAAGATTAGAATATTGAGATGTCATATAACTTAGAATTAATTACATATTCTTTCTACAAAATATGAAATCTTTAGTTTTATAGCTGCTGACTTTGATTTTTCGAGGGATTATAATTGAAGCGTTTTGTGCAGAAACAGCATAAGTCCATAATTCGAAATTGTTCATGAATCAATAAAAACTGTTTTTCTTGGAAATGTTAAGATTTTTTTTTATTCTGCTTTTTGCATTACATTCTACTAACCTATAAGTTAAAAACTCCAACGTGATTAATTAATTATCTACTTAATATAAAAAATTAAAAAATAAATTAACATTTGGACACATGCTGTTTCTGCACAAAATGAAATGAAAAACACAGGAAATTTATTGAATCGAGTAAAATATCAAAGTTTTATTAAATATTTAATAACATTTATTTAAAATATTGAATTTGGATAATTTTTAGTAACATTTTATAAATAACAAAATGGTTTTAAGAATAAATTTAACCAATTTTCAATATTTTCTAATTTTTAAAAATTTCAGTCACCACTATCACTTTTTGCTTCCTTTGAGTGTTTTTTATTTATAATATAAACTATTTAATATAAATTATTAAAATACGTCAAGAATATCACAAGTAAATAAAAAACTTATCATGGACTTGTTCTGTTTCTGTACGAAATGATATTTTAATTATTTTTTTAAGGGTTTATAGTTGAGTCACTTATGTAATATTTTACCAGAAAGGATTCATTATATGTACTGCTTTATTTGTTGCCCAAATCCTAACACCTCCTCTTTGAAATTCAAACTGATTTCCTTCTCCATGGCGAAATCTATAAATTTAAAATAAACAAAAATTAATTAAACGTAAACGAGCATGTGACACTTATTATCCCTCCGTCACACACCTTAGAAAAAATTACGACTTTACAACATTGTAAAATAAGCGACATTTCAACATAAACAAAGGAATCAACAAAAATTTAGTTTTAACACAAACTTACAAATATGTAGTAAATTATTCTAAATTATAAAATTAATAAAATTAATTTTTGGTCTCAAAAATAATAATTAATTACACGAATGCACAGCTTCGAAGGAATTCCTCTTGACATGTAAAAATAATGTAACATTAACAAATAAGCAAGAAAATCATTAAACAATTCATTTTAATTATATTTATAATATACTTTTGTCATTAAACAACAGTGGAACAAAAAATGTTATGAAAACTTGATTTTTTTATTTAACATAACCTCACTTTTTCGAGTTTTTTCTGGCTTTGGAACTTCATAATTAAATATTAATTATGTTTAAAGTGAATGTTTTTTTTAGAAATGTGTTGTGGAGTAAATTGTCGAAAGGTATAGAAACTGATTTTATTTTGCAACGAGGAAAACAAAAGTTATTTAAAAAAATACTGAAACCATAGAGCGGGAATCCCTTCCTAGGTGTGTGACGGAGGGTTAAGAAGAAATTAGAAATATTAAATTTTTTATTACTTACGTATCAGTGTAAATTTCCTAGGGCTTTTTTCAGTATTATATATTGAGAATTATTCCACCGATGTGCATGGAATACATCAACTGTCAATAAATCGTTAATCGACAAGCATATATAATCTTCGTTAATACGAATTTCATACGCCATTAAATTTACATTGTGTTCCATAGTGGTTACTGTACGGCAAACGAAAAGTGCACTATTATTTCTCCAGATAATAGCATGTAATGCTGCAAATTCAGGTATATTTTGGTCACTATAACGTACAGCTAAGAAGCACTTGGTCGAAACATATTTAATACCGTTTATTTTGACCCAATTAGCTATCTGCAGGCGTCTCACATCTGGAAACATTGCACTAAAGGGAAGTGCAAGTATAGAGACCCATTTTGTTGGACCTACACTGAGATCTCGATCCAATATTCCATTCATTACGTATGCTTGATTCAATTGGTGTTTATTAGCAAGAGTTAAAGGTAGATTTTTATAAGTCCTCATACATTGTGCGATTCTCTTAAAGTATTGATGTTTAGCTTCAGCTCTCATTGTTGAGTAGTTTTGTAGAGGTCCAAATTTAAGAATTGCTCTTATTCTATGAACCAAGAAATGCTGTTTTGGAATTAAATCTCTGTTGTAACATGTTTGAAAAGTTTCAAGATATTCAGATATACAAGATTCCAAGTAACCTAAAATAGAGATTGGTATTTTGTCAGCATGCGATATTAATATAATTTCCAACATTTTTAAATAATTTTCCAACGGTGACCACCCTTGAACAACTCTATCAGAAACAATTAACGGTAGCATTGTCACCAACTGTAACATTTGTGAAGCCGTCTGCTTAAATCCTTTAGAAGCATCTAACAATTGTGTCTCAGTAATTGGTGAAGGTTTAGCAGATTTCTCGGTATATCCATAGTCATAATTTGCTATTCTTTGGTTCAAGTCATGAAGCGTGATCAATTCTAACGTACAGCAAACTTCCTTCAGAAACAATCTTGTTGTAATGATGCAAATTCCTAATAAATCGTCGTGAGTTAAATCCGGTGGGGTGGATTGCGTAACATCAAAATTTTCAATTTCATTAAGCACGCTTCTTCTGTTAATGCCATATAGTGTTCGAAGAGCAGCTTTTTGTTGCTCTCCAACGGCAGCTTCAATTTCCTGAACTCGACGTTCATGCTCTTCTGCTGTTCGTAGAATCGTAGCATCTTCACTGCACATAGTTTTTATTTGAGTCATATTTGCCTTGCATATTCTACAAGGATGAAGTGCACTGAACGATTCTCGAAAACCGCAACACTGATGAACACCAAGATTATCTCCAATTAAGACTGATAATGTTCCGTAAATGACGTCACCGTTTGACAATCGAATACCATTTTGAATTTGCTTTAGGTCATTGATAATATGCTGAAGAATGGCGTTCATTCCATACACATTTATATGAGGGTTGGATACAACTCCAGCTAAATTAATAAATTTTAACTGTGACTTATTTTCAGAAGATATATCATCGTCCATCCAATAGAACATGCCTAATTTGTTAGTAGAAGATGATTTAGACCCCACGGCATCGCACATATCTACTTCGTCAAAATAAAGTTTTATAAACTTACAGTTTGGTTTTTGCAATTTATAGGAATGATTTTGGAAATAGCTTCCATCCATATAAGTTTCAATGGCTTGATTCTCATTCCTTCTTGGATTAAATAAAATATTCCCAAATGAGCCGTTTCCTAACCACGCAGTCAGCACCTTCGAAATAGGGACGTGAATAAATTCGTCTTTCTTTATTTTTAATGGCTGATTCCCATATATTGAAGATGAACCATACGGGACAAATTTCTCACCCAGCCTAATTCTATCAGGCAATACAACTTTAAATTTTTCCTCAAAATATTTATTTTGGTTATGAATGCTATTCAGTCCTTGACTGCAGTCAATGTTATTAATAATTTCGTCTATGTCTATGTACTCGTTCAAATTTATATTGTGTGTCTCTCCTAGAATATTTCTAATATTATTTAGATGACGAGAAAGATACCACTTTACAACTACTTCCATTTTCCTTAATATATTAGTCACGTCTTCATTAGTTGCTCTTGTACTACTTCTCAAATACAGAAGATATTCGCCTATAATTTCTTTCTCGGGGTTATCAGGAACATTATCATCTTCATCATAATCATCCTCAAAATCAGAATCTTCTTCCACATCATCGTCCGAAGTATCATCAATAGGATCTTCAATAATAAAGTCCTCGTCCATAGCTGGAAATGATAATGTAAATAATTAGAATACAAGCTAATAATAGTCAACAAAAATAATTAAGTAGAAAGGCTATTCAATTTGAAATTCTTAAAATGACATTTATATTAATTTATTCATTGTTTAATTTTAGGTAAAGTGAATAAATGTACTTTGCAATACATTCAGAATGAATTTCTTTACAGAAAAAAACATTGTATGGAATGTGGAATTACGACCCTAAGTTTCGAACGTTCAAATAAATGAAATTGATTTATTTCTTATTACATTTTTATTCAAATAATTTTGCTTTAATATAAAAACTTCACTTTTTTTCTAAAAATTCAGCATATAAAAACGAAAAAAAATTCGTGCTTGTTCTCAAAAGTTATTCAATTATTATTTTATAACTTTTTTGTTTATAAAAATTTTTTATAAACATAATATAAAAAAAAATTTTCGTTTTTTATGCTAAATTTTTAGAAAAAAGAGTAAAGTGTTTTGGTTAACGGTGTTCGATGGTCTATTAAATTTCTCGATAATGTGCGACAAACAGTTATCACCCAACAAATACGGCACTGAACGATTTAAATGACGTGAAATTGGTAAACATTGATTTTGTAACAAATTTTTTTCTGTTCACCGGCACTTTTTACAAAATATGACAACGTACATTTGTCAAAAATGTTTTTAATTGTCTGAATTCAAAAGATTTTGTTAATCCATGCAGAAACGCGGTTGCAGCATTGGAATTACCATGGCAATGTAATGCGAATCATTTTGACAGCTGAGCCTTTACGCTCCCTGCATGCTTCTGCCCTCTACTGACAAAATGGCTGTAACATACGTCTTGTGGCCTGCCATTACATTACTTTTGTATTTCCAATCCTGCAACCGCGTTTCTGCATGGATTAACAAAATCTTTTGAATTCAGACAATTAAAAACATTTGTGACAAATGTACGTTGTCATATTTTGTAAAAAGTGCACGTGTGCAGAGAAAAACTCGTTCGAAAACGGTTGTTTACTAATCCCACGTCATTTCAAACAGACAGTACCGTTTTTCTTGGGCGATAACAGTACAGGGTGGCCACAAGTTTCAGTTTATCAATTTCCCTGACAATTTACTGACATTAAAATTACTTTCCCTGACAAAATTCTTTTTACAGGAAAATATGAATGTTTACGGAAAATGGGTAAAATTTATGAATTTGAATAATTTCTAAAAATTACAATTATAACCCTTCCTGAATTCAATTATTTTTTACAATTTTTAACTAAACTTCATCTCTGAATCAATTAATTTAAATAATTTCCCAAAAGTTCTTCTAGAATTCAATTATTTAAATACAAAAATTTAATTTTTTATAATAATTGTAATTATATAAATATAATAGTTTTCCAATTTTTAATAATTTACAAACAATTAAAATTGGGTAAAATCTTTTTAAAATAATTGAATTTTTGAAAAATATAAATAAAAATGATCAAATTTTTGAAGAATTTTAATTTTAAACAAGACCATGATTTCTCAAAAATTTTAATAACTCTAAAAAGTAAATTTTCATAAATTTTTATTCACATTGTTCGAAGATAGTTGAATCTTAAAAAATTATTATAAAACAATTCTAATAATTAGTTCTTAAAAATATTTTAATGTAATTTTTCGAAAATAATTGAATTTCTTAAAAAAAATTTTGTATAATTTAAAAAACTAATTAATTTTTCTTTAAATTTTAATTAAAAATTTTGAGCTTGATTGTATTCTCCAAAATGTTAAAAATAATTCTAAAATGTTATTATTTTTATACGTATTTGAATTTTTGGAAATATGTAATTAAAAATACTGAAAACATTGAATTTTTACAAATTAGAAGCTAATATTTCAATTATTTTCAAAATTTGCAATTAAAATTCTTCAAAAATTGATTTTTAAAAATTGTAAATAAATACTTGAAATGTTTGGAAAAAAAGTCGAAAAAGTCGCAATTTTTGAAAATAAGTCGAAAAAATTCTCAATTTTCTTAATTTCCCTGACAAAAATTTTTTTCCTGACATTTCCCTGACTTTACTGACAAAAAATTTTTTCCCTGACATTTACCTGACTTTACTGACAAAAATTTTGTTTCACTGACATTTCCCTGACTTTACTGACATGTGGCCACCCTGCAGTAAGTCGAACATAACCTACAAATTTTAGAGAACATCGAACGCTCTTAAGATGGAAAGGAGATATAACGATTTCAAAATTTTTCCAAAATTTTGACATCTAAAAAACTACTGAATATTTTGACGTCATATTTGTTGAAAATATTTCTTTTTGTGTTTAGATTAAAAGTTCTTAATTTCATTTCAATTGGTTTACTTACTCCGAAAAAACTGAAATCTCGCTTGAAATAGCACAACATATAATTTTTGTTCATTTAAAAGTTCAAAACTTATGAAATTAGATAAATACTTTTATAAAAAAAAATTAATGAATTTAGGCAATAAAAAAGATCCAGAATTTAAATAACTGCCCATTTAAAAATTTAAAAAAACATTAAAATGTTTGATTAAACTAAAAATTTTGTTTGTATCACTCATACAAATTTTTAACTATGCATATATATACAAATATGATGAATGTAAACGAAATTTTTTCAAATTATTATTTTTTGTAAAAATATTTCAAATCAATTACTTATATGCTAGAAATACGTTTATATTTTTATACATAAATAAAAACGTATTTAAATTAGTTTAAATAAATTTATTTACCTGTAATCCGTTATCCGTTATTATCGTTAAATAATCGATGATGATTAAATATCAACAGTAGAAAGTCTTTAAAAGGATTTCGAACATGACATGTAAACAAAGTGACAAACTTAGCTATCCGACTCCAAAATATTTTATTGTAATTTGCAGAGTCACCTAGTGTTATTCAAAAAATTAAACGGTTACACCTTTCCAGGCGCCTTAATGGAGCACTCACAGCTCTGCCTGCCTGCGCAGGCAGTAATTGGAGTAAGAGAGAAAGTCAATTAGAGTGAAAGAGACAGTAAATTCAAATTTGTATGCTGCCTACTAGCTGTTGTGAGTGCGCCTTAAGGGTGCACTCACATGGGGCATAAAGTCGGTAAACGACACAGCAAGGCATGGCCATTCAAATAAATGTAAAGTGTTTTTATTTAACGCCCATGCCCAACCCTGCATATTATTGTTAATTTTTGTTAAATTACACAGATGGTCTAGTTGAAAGTACGACATTTTTCCACGCGTTTACATATTCAGCAAGTATTTCGAGAATAAAATGAACAATATTGATAAATATAATGTGAAAAGAGGTTTTTGTACGGAGTGTAATGAGTGTCCAGAGTTCGAGAGGAATCAGGATTCAACTAAAAACGTTTGTGGATATTGTGGGTGCTATCCTACAAAACACCGAAAATTGTCAGTAGATTCAATTCATGATGATTCTAATTCAGATGTTTCACAAAATACTTCTGGTGAAAATGAAAATTCATTGCAATTATCCGAGGATTCATCGGATGTGGTCGATAGAAGTGTGTTGCAAGAATCTGGAAGCGAAGAAATAGAAATAAACGAAACGGTAAATACAAAGTAATTTAATTTCATAAGAATAATCAACAGAAATTTTTTCAAGTATTTCATTGAAAATTTTGTAGACATAGGAAATTAAAAATGGAAAAATTTTAGCTTTGACAGAAATTATTTTATTTTATTTCATGTTCCAAAACTAATATATAAAAATTATAATTTTTAAAACGTGTTTTAATAAAAAATATTAACTATATTTTTTTATGGCTCATCTACATATTACGTCAAACTTGAATGTGGAGGAATTTGTGACACAAATCTTCATAAAAATTATAGGGGAACATAGTCTAGGTCGGCCACCTTTTTGACTTTTGTTTATAACTTTTTTTTAAAAATGAATTTGGACAATTGAAGTATATGGTTGGAAAGTCCTGTTTAATAGGAACATTTTTTCTGTACAAAGTAAATTGACAGGTTTAAAAATGAAAAAGTTATAAAGATTTAAAAAAAAAAAAATTTGTAGTCCAGGTTGGCCATTACAGTCAAGGTCGGCCATGTTTAAAATTCAAAGGGCATTAATCGTTAAAAAATAAAATAACATGTTTGGAGTTACGGAAAATTGATTCTTTATTGTTTACAGTTTGTAACTTAATGAAATAACAAAATAATAACAATAAACAATATAAAAAAAGAAATATAAATAAAAAAAAGTTTTGAACTAAAATATTAATAAAATTAAATAAAAATATTAATAAGATGATCAATTATATTATGAGTTATACAGAATTGCAGTTTTTGCAAATGAAGTAGCTCGTCCTCAACTTTGCGCATTTTAAACACATAGTGGCCGACCTTGACAGTAAGTAACATTACCGAATTGTTGTAACCATAAAGAAATACGTTTCGGGATTCGATTTTTTACTTTGTTTTCCTTTCAACCATGAGTCCCACAAATTTTCTGCATACTTGCCTTGACGATTCAATTTGTTTTTTATCTTTTATTAATGGTTTTTCACATTATGCACAAAACTTTTTTTGAGCTTTTTTTGTACCGACGTCACAGAAAACACAATTTTCGATTTTCCGAAAATGTAATTGAACAAAAAGTTAGGTTTCACTAAGACAAGCTTCGACAAAAATGCGCGTAGGTGGCGCTAGTGAACTTGAAAAAAAAACGCGAGTGGCCTACCTAGACAGTAGGCCAACCTTGACTACATTCCCCTATAAAGGTTAAAATGAATAAAAATCTTCAAGAAGGCGAATTGAACAAAGTTGAATTGTTAAAAAATCGATTTAAAATAACATTAACTGAAAAAAAGTTGAAATGAAAGGTAGAATGTCGAATTGTTAAAAAGTCAAATTGACAATGTATCGAATGGTAAAAAAATCGAAATTCTACAATGTTCTCTCTTTGGTTTCTTCACATATTTTCATTGTAACGTGTGTATTTGACAATGAAAATAAATTGAAAATAAATTCTACTTTTTAACTTTTCAACGTTTTTGCCTTTCAATTTTTCTTCCAATTTAACCTTTGACAATACAATTTTTTTATTTTTTGAATTTTTTGACCATTCGACGTTTGTTGCCATATTCAACTATTTGTCAATTCGAAATTATTTATTATTTTTTTATCACTTTTAAGGCCTAAGCAGAATAGAAACTTGTTAACGTATAGAAATGCACCTTCATATAGAAGCAATTTTGTTTATTGTAATAATATTTATTTAAATTGAATTATTTGGTAATTTTGATTTTATTATTTTAGACTGATCTAAGCACGTTAATACCGGAATTTCCCACAGAAATACAGGAACTGATCGATGAAGACAAGAAACTGTTAGCTTCTCAAATATCAGTAATAATTAGATTAGTTACTGAAAAATTGATGGAAAAAAATTTGGATATACCAGGAATAATTTTAGAAATGTCAATTTTGCTGACTGATAAATATCCCTTGCAACTTGCGAGCGAGTATGGCGAGAAAAACGTAAGTCCAATTTTTTATTTGAAAATAATTTTATTTGATTAATATATTTTCAAAAGAAATTTGTAAGCGTATCAGTATCAGTATTTTAAATAAACTGTAGTACTGCACAGTTTATTTAAAATACTGATACTTGATTGTTAAGATATGCCTTCTCTCAGGGCAGATACTAATTTGATATATTTTCACCTTTTTATCTAAACAATAATTTACATGCATTATATAGAGTCAGACGCACAACCGTTTGAAATTCTGCTGCAAATACTATCGTTCAAGAAAAAAGGACGCTAAATGCTACTCGAAAAAAGGAAAAAAAAATGCATCAAATGCATTACCGAAATCGAGAATGACAGCAGACGAATTACGTGCGACACGAAGATCAAGGCTGTCAGCAGCGAGAAAAGTGGATACGAAGGAAATATTACTGAAGTGCCCTGAACTGCGGGATAAGAATGTGGTAAAAGCAAAATCATTTACTTATTATTTTGTTTTTCCTTCAAAACAATGTAAAACTTAAATAATTTTCATCACTTTGTGTATTTAATTTTAATTATGACGACTTATGTCGTATACAATTAATAATAAAAATATAACAAACTAATATTCTATTTTTAATTTTTAAAAATAACAGCTACTTTTGGAATTCAGCGAAATAGTAAATTTAGATGTCCCGAAAATGCAGTCCAATTGGGTGGAGCTACTACCAAATCTGTTAAAAATATTGAAAGTTCCTGCCAAAAATCTTTCGGTGGACGGGCAAACAATGTATGTCTTGTATTATTTGCCCAAATTATTTACAAAGGCAAAAGAGAAAGGCAAAATTCTACAATTGTTTCCTGTGAGTATTCATAAATTACATTAATTAGTATCTAAATAAGTTCTTGTTATCTTTTTAAGAACATAATGTGACCTCTAATTCATGCTGTCACTAAAACGTTAATTTTGTCCATAACTTTTCTCATAAAATATTAAATGAATTGAGCTTGAATTTTATGGAAATGTCTAAAATATTGTAAGAAAGGAAGTGGAGTGAGAAATTGTTGAGATATTGTTAAACAATTATGTTAAAACACTTAAAAATTGTTAGAAAATTTGAGGTTATAAGCATATTATTTTCTAATAATTTATAAATAGTATATAATAATTATTCAACAATGTATCAACTTTTCTGCACTTTAATGTCAATCTTCATCATATTTTAGACTTCTTTACAAAATTTTAGCAAAATGAAGTTACTACTTTGTTAAAAATGTTACGATCAAATTAGCATTACAAATGTAAGTGCGACACATACCTCATATCGCGATAGAAAATAAGCAGATGAATAATATTTTACTATAAAAATCGAGAGAGTTGACCAGTGTTTAAAGTTATTTTAAATCTAAATATTGATTTTTCAAAGAAACAAAAAGATAAATAACGATTACAAATTATGCATAATAATTTTTTATAATCCTAAAAATCTAAATAATTTGGGAAATGTTAACAGTTTTTTTTAAGAAAAGTGATTTTATTTAAAAATAATTCTTTCAGAAATTATTCATACAATATAACAAAACATATTTTTTTATTTAGACTGGAACGTCAATGGAAAAGATTGTTCCTGGTGTGACAGAGGCCCCAAAACTTCTTGCGGTTTCCGATAGGCCATTAGACGATCTACATACAATATGCTACAGTGACGGACAGCCAATTTTTGAAGCGAAAGGCCTCAGAGCCTTGCTGTTATTGCTCGCTGTATATTGGGTTTTCCAAATCAATTTTCCACCAGATGCTAAGCAGCAATTTTCTTTCATTGCAATTGCTGTCTTGAGAGACGTGGCAACAAAAGAAATTGATAAAAGCATTTTAACGAAAATAACATTGACAAATGCTTTAAAACAATGTAATTTACTGCCATCTGCATCATCTGAACAATAAATATATAGAGACAAGTAGTTAATGCTACATAGCTATTTACAAAATATTAAAAACTTCTTACAGTATTAAAATAGCTTTAATATATGTAATAAGAAAGAGAACATTTTTTCTTAATTACAATGTTTGAATTTGAATATTGTGAAGTGATATTTTAAATACTTTAAGTGTTATTTATTTAATTTTGTAATATATTCAGTGTTATCTAAAAAATTTAAATATTTTAATATTTTCTAAAAATAAATTAAAAATTTTAAATTAGGTAACTACATTAAACAATATTTAATGTAAGTAAAAACTCTAATACTAAGCATAAGTGAATATTTTTATGAACATAATTGCATAATAAACGGGCGAAATCTTCGATAACATAAATCGTGATAAAAAGCATAATACAGTTCAGGTCTCTATAAATTTATTTCCTTAATACTTGTTTTCAATGCATATACGTTTGCACTTCTTAAAATATTTTTTATATCTAATGTGCGACGAATATTAATAATTGTGTAAAATAAATATTTCAAAAAGAAAATATAAGTTCTAAAAATTTCATCCAAAAACATATTTACTTTCCTTTCCTCCAATAAAAGATATTACGAAATGAATCGAAAGGTAATCAGAGAAAACAAGTCGAATACATTTTTTTTAAATTCAAACGAATAATTGCATTTAATCTATTAACGACCACCAGAACGAAGAAATTTACAGTTCCTATTTTATATAAAAAATTCATTTTTAAAGTTTCAATCCACCATATTGGATCCGTCATTTTTAATTTTTAAAATCTGATTTTATATTCGTATTCAGCAACCCCGAAACTAAAGTAACAGTTACTTTAGTTTGACATATTGGAAATGAAACAAGCATTAATTTAGTATGTTTTTTCGATATCGCCAAATCTTTGTAAAGTACAGAGTTCAAGGTTTTATTTGTCATTATCACGTCAGATTTACCCGGTAGAAAATTTCAACAATTGACAGAAGCGTATTTTTTAGGAGTTTTACATCCACATATTTCTCAAAATCCTGACGTGATGGGAGATTTTTGTTATCAGATTCAGATTTATCGCAGCAAAAATTCAGGAAAATGACTTGCCTGTCTCAAACAACCGAAAAAAAATTTTCCAAAATTCAAAGTCGCGAATTGTGTATGCTAATTTTACGTTTCCCGGATGTCTTTAAGGTTACTGAATTAAAATTTGAAATAAGTTTTCAAAATCGATTAGAGTAGATGCACCAGTTTTGGCCACTTTAAGGAATTCCTCATTTTCAAGACACCTTTTATTATGTTAATTATAAAAAATGAGTGGCTGACAGTTTATAATAGATTAATTATAATTCTTAGTTTCAGAATTTCTTGTCTTTAAAGGTTAAAAAAATAATAATATAATAAATTAATAAATATATAAAAATGTCAATTTTGTTAGTTTTGGCCACCCCATTTTCATGAATAATAAATATGATTATTATGAACATTGAATACATCTTTTAAGAACATTAATTGTAAAATGACTTTTTATCAAAAAATAAATAGTAAATAGAACCGAAAACTAGAAAAATTAATAAAAGTGTGTGGTTGGCCAAAACCGGTGCCTTGGTCAATACCTGTGCATCTACCCTATGCCACAAAATTTTAGAAAACTTTATCTAATTTAACTCTGTATTTTATTACTTTAGGATTTTAGGAAGAACAAAGAATACAAATAGAGATAATTGTTTCATTTTTATTTTTTGGTGTGTCCAATTAGTATTTGATTTTTGGTATTCTATATAGTAACTCTTGCAAAAATATTTTAAGTACGTGAAGCAGCTCTATTTTCCAAGTAAGGACGACGCCATCCATGAATGCGGTCGAATAATTTACCTACAACAGTATACAAGAGTATATAAATCCGAATTGTAATAATATATGAAGGTATATTTTACAGTGCAATAAAAATTAATAATGAATAAAAAATATCGGAAATAAAAAATAACATTCTTAATAATTTGTATGAGAAGTAGTTCGTAAATAAATTATCAAACTTTTTAACCTACTGTAACCTATAATCATAAACACACAAAAAATTGGTAATGTTTTTATACATACCTCAAGTGACCTGAACATTTACCTTTTTAAACATGAAAACAGTTCTAATGGTTCTTAAGTTACCTGCAATTATCGATATTAATTCTTAAATAATTTAAACGTCTGCAGTGTCAAACTCAGAAATAAATGTGACATTTTGTTTTTGTAAAAATAAACATTGCAAACATAAGCGTAAAAGTTTTTGTAGACACGTGTCTATCACACTAAAACGCAATTAAAAACGCCGCCATACATCCGTATCAAGAACTAAAATTGACAATCGGTAACTGAAGGTGCTTACACAATATTGTTGTTTACCAAATCTATCTGGGACTGAAAAACTAATATTTTATTGTAAAAATGTTTATAAGTCAATATAAAATGCATTAGCTATAAATATTACTAAAAAAATATATTAATATAATTATTTAATCAGAATACGTAAAAAAAATTCAAGTATTTCACATATGTATAAATTACATTTAAATAAAATAATAACCTACAGATACAATTTAAACGAAACAATGCAAAATACAGCCATAACCTCAAAAATTACAAATTAAAAAATTAATTAATTTTGTAATTTTTATAAAATAAACAAAAAGAAAATGTTAGATAAAAATAGACTCATTATTATTAATCAATTCATTGCTCAATTTTATATTAGCAATTAGTGAAAAAATAACTAATAATGGGTAAAAAAAATAATTATTACTTCAAAAATAAATAAAAAATTAGTATATTTATACTAAAAATTATAGTTATTCGACATAACCTGAAAATGAAATTTAACTAATGATTAGTTATTTTCCACTAGATTTTTAGTAAAAAAAACATTATTAATTCATCATTAGTAACTAATTTTTTAATACTTAATTTAATTCTTTTTAACTAGTTCAAATTTCCAGAGTGATTATTTTTTTAGTCCAATAGCTATCCTACCCAACTCTGCTGTTTCATTTCGAGAATTAAATCTTGCTTTCCGAAGCCTGTTTCTTTACAAGTGTCATGTGAATTGTTAAAATGATTAAAATTATATAAATTGACAAGATTGTTAATATTTATACCTGTGCAGTAGTGTCTTATTTTTATTGTGCATATTTCAAATTTAAATTTATGCAACCAGTGTTTAATTATCATCATTTTAATCAAATAATATCAACAATCACGGACATTTTTCTAGGGAAATTCTGGTAACAATTTTACCCTCACAATTTTACCCTCTACCCTGTACCCCAACGAGTTTTACCCATTACCATTATAACTTTTTACTCCCTCTTTTTTCTGTGGCAGGGGCCGACGAGGGCTGATCCATATCCACACCATTGACTTGCAAAAATTTCTAAGTCCAAACCTCAAATAATTTTTTATTACTTCAAAATTAATGTTTAGAATGATTATAAACAATGAAAAACACATATTTCACATAAAATTATTTACATTTTTTTGAAAATATTGAACTCACATGGGGGCAAATCCTTGAGGGCCCACGCATGGATCGCCCACATCATTGACTAGCAAAAATTTCTAAGTCCAAACAACGAATATTTTTTTACAACAAAAAATTAATGTTTACAATCATTTTAAACAATAAAAAACACGTTTTCTGATATGTTGTATTAGTGTTAATAATGCTTTCCCAGGTGCGAATTTAGGTTGGCCGCCAGAGTTTGAAGGTTGGCCTAACTTTGGCAAGCGAAGTTTTGGTTGCCAGAGTTTGCCCAACTTTGCAAGTACTAGTGCCCACTTTGTTGGACCCACTTTGCAAGCCAAACATTACGTGCAGAGTTTAACCAACCGTCGAGCCAACTTTGGAGACAAAGGTTGGCACAACTCATTCAAACGTAGTTTAAAAGACTTTCAGTTTCGGTCGGCCGAACTCTGGGCCACGGTTGGCCCGACGGTTGGCAAAATTCAAGAAACGCAGTATAAATGACTTAAACTTTCTTTTTTCGACTTTCTTAAACTTTCTTGGTCGGCCGATCTCTGGGCCACTGTTGGCCCGACTGTTGTCAGAACTCTGTGAATTGCAGTTTGACTTACATTATATTTTGGACAGCCAAACTCTGGGCAACGGTTGGCAATTGACAACAATTTTTAATTGTAATTTATTTTTATTTTTTTTTAATTGTAATTTTTTTCAAACAATTACACGTGTATTACACATGTAATTACACGTGTATTACACATGTAATTACACGTGTAGATTTGGCCACATGTAATTACACGTGTATTTTAAACTTTTTGAAATTTTTTCAATAATTTCGACAATTATAATTGTCGAAATTATTATCCAGGGGGAAATTTCCCACTGGCAGGGTACCGCGCCAGTACAAACGTCGGTAAGACTGTACTGGCATGGATCCGCCTAACGACCGGATCGGTGCAAACATTGTACTGGAACCTGACAATGTGTTGTAGTGGCTGCGCGCCTGACTCGGTACAGATTTAATACCGCCAAACATCCGGCGTTGTACCGTCATTCGTCCGTCTGGCAACCAGGACGGGCCAAATTTTGTTCCGAAAGATGACTTTCTACTGGCGTTCTACTGGCATTCGTCCGCCTAGCAAGCGACGCGGGCCAAATTATATTCTCTATTGAAAAATAAAATAAAAAAAATATTTAATTAACTATGCATGGTGCATGTTAATTAATATTTGTTTACAGATCATTTGAAACATTTTTTACACATTTTACATTTTTTTACACATTAAAATTCTAAACGCTCGCAGGGGGATACGAAACCCAAGCCTATCCTAATCTACGCACCGAAGTCTAATACGCTAACCACTACGCTATTCGCTCGCTTGCGGATGTGAGCATAACAAAACCCATATACAGTACCGCTAGGGAGCAAACAATTTTAGCAACTTATATACAACAATAAATAATAATTTAAAAACAAATTGAATATTTTAGCATTTTATCAATATTATGTA